TAAAACGCTACGAATTAATTCCAACACCTAATAAATTATATAAAACAACACAAATAGTACAATAAATAGTACAAATAATAATGAGTCAAGGAATTCGTCTTTGTTTTTAATAATTCGACTGATATCTATAGTTAAAATAAATTGAAAAGATAATCGTGTGTTAACAACTAAATCAATTAATTAACTATCAATTATTATATATCAAATATTTGGTTAAATTATATAACGAGTATAAATACTAAAAGCAACTTATGTATAATATAAAATATTTTATAAAAACTTTGTTAATCTTATTGAAATTAGAAAATGTTCTACATAAGCAAGAATTAACAATAGCATTTTATATTAAAAAGTATATTTTAAAAAATATTTCTATATAATGTATCTTTCTACAATTTTAAAAAACAGATATACAATAATTTAGCTTGCAAGGGGAGATCTAGGTATATTTCGTGGATTATGGAAAATTTTATATTAAGATTTAAAGTTTGACGTCATATAATGTAATACGTAATATTTAAGAATCAATGGACTAAAGGATCGAAGTTATAAAATTTTATCGTTTGAAATGGCAGCAATAGTAAACAGTTGGCCATTATCACATATTCAAGACACGAAATAGGTATATCTTTTTTGTTGTTTTTTTCATTAATTTTTTTTTTTACGTTCTTAATTTATCCTATTGCTCTGCAAATTAAAAAGTTTTAGTAATTATTATGTACTATTTAATTAAAACTTAATAAGTAAATACTTATAATAAAACTGTGAACTCCTATATACGATAAAATAACACAAAATTTCAAATCCAAAGTGAAAAATTTAACAAAAATTTGAGATATTATATAATAGATACATTAAAATTAAATATGTACTATTTAATTAAAACTGTAAATTTTTATGTAATAATAAAGTAATCCACAACGTCAAATACAAAATAGAAAATTTAATGAAAATTATAATATTATGCAATAGACATATTAAAATTAAAATCAAGAAATATTTATCAAAGAATTATATACATTGTAGTTTGAAGAGTGATAACTAAAACACGTTATATATAAATTTGCTATATATATATCGTGCGTTATTTCAACAAAAATATAAATGAGACGAACAAACTTTAGCATTTATTAAATGTTTATAATGTTATTAAATGTTTATTTATGAAATATTTATCAAAAAATTAGTACATACAATTAGTACATTTTGATCGTTTTAAATGACTTTTATCTTTATTTTATTTCTATTTTTTATGACAAAGGTTTATAGTTCTTACAAAAATTGTTTTAAAATATGTTTTAATTTTTTTTTCCAGAGTCATTGGATAAATTAGGAACGCAAAAAAAATTTTTTAAAAATAACAAAAGAATTAGTATTACGTAGTTCGTTTTGAACACGATAACGACCATTTATTGTAATTGTCTTTGTTAAATTATACAAAATTGTAAAAATAAAAATTTTTTTAAAAGCGACCAAAGCATGCTAAAGTTTTAAGCTTTAAAACTTTTGTTGTATTTTTTGCCTGCAATAATTTTTTTACCGAATTATCGGTGATCAGAATATTATGAGATAAAAAATTTCATGTCCAGAAATTTTTCGACAGTATGCACAAAATGAAAAATATAAGTAAAGATATAAATAAAAATATGTATAATATAAGAAACGTAACATTCTACGTACAATACATAATAATACATAACATATAAAGCATATAATATATTGATATCTTCCATTTCAAACATTTTATTATTGTTCTAGATACAAAAAAAATTAAAATTACGTATAACAAAACAAAACAATAAATATCAATTTATCAATTAATATTATCAAAGTAGTATCATAATATTATCGATTCAGATGTAAATATTGCATTAAAAATTCTATACTAACACGGAATTTTATTAATATGTAATTATAAAGCAGTATATTTATTATAGTCAAGGTTTTATTCAGCTTTGTGCTGTGTCTCTTAATGCTAAATAGAGTGCATGGAATCAAACGGAGTGTATATTTCTTTGATATTAATGTAGAAAAGGGAGAAACATTTTATATATCTAACGATAAGTATTCGAATTTTTCTGGAATTGAATACGGCACTTGGAAATTGCACAGCCTCTTTATTATCGAAGCGACGTGTTCCATTGAGCTAGTAAGTTTATTATATAAATTTTGTTTGAAATTTAGACATGCATATATCTTAATTAAGTTTTTAAACATATCATAAGGATTTTATTCAAGTTCAAAATTGTATTATTATTATTATTGCCAAAGTTGTTAGGGCAAAAAGAACGCATATGAGCGCGCGCAAATAATTTAATAAATTTTACAGAATGATAATTGTATTGCAAATAAATTTCTTGTTATTAATCATCTGGAAATTAATCATCTATCTATTGTGGTAATGATAAAATAGCCTTCGAAGGATGCAATCTAATTATAAAATTTGTTTCGACATTTCAAAGTCGATTTTTATGTGAAATTAAAACTAATGATAATACTCAGTGTGGTAAGTCGGAAAAAAATGGTAAGTTTAAATTAAACTTTATGAAATGTTACTTATTTATTTGAAAGTTTTTATTTATTTCTTATTTATTGCTTCACGCAAAAAAAA